ACAGAGTTCTCTGATAACGGGGACACCTAGGAGGTTCCAAGACACCTTACAGTTCTGGGTTAGTAACCTGGATCTCTTTCCACCTCTTTAGACATTTTACAACCTAACCTTCCCCCTTCTTGTGGATAAAATGCTCCTGAATGCTTATGGTCCAAAACAAGACTTTCTTCCTATCCATTCCCAAATCTTTCTCCAGATCCACCCTAGAGGAGGGATCAGAATCTTCCACAATCCAGCAGGTGGTGACAAGCCAGAACCGGCAAGAGGTGAGGACTCAGCTGGCTCCATCCAGGAGTGCATAAGGAGGAGATCTCCCTCTGCCTCTCAGTTTTCCTAAACATACTTCTCAATTCCTGGAGAGGACTCCTCCCTCTCCACTTCCTCCCATAGTCGCCCCAAAGAGGGGGCAGGAGCATCCGAACGCGGAAATCGAGGTGCTAGTCCAGACTGCTCGGTCGGCTTTAGTCATAACTGGATAATGCCCGGCTCAGATCTACCACAAGCCACACAGCTGCCTTCCCTGTTCAACCGGTCAGTGACAGAAACCAAGGGGACCCCAGCATCCAGTACCGAGACGCTGGAATCGGGGTCTTACACACAGTTCCGCGGGCCAGTCCTCGGCCAGGACCCGCGGGGAGCCACGTAGCCTGGAGGGTGGGGCTACCCACCGACCCAGGATGCCGCAACTCACTGGGGAGGGCGGGGCTCCAGCAACCGCCCCCAGCCCCTTGACGGCACCCCCTGGCGCCCACCTTGTCCCGGCGCGGCCTGCGCGCTAACGAGGTTCGCGCGGTGAAGTACTGCTCGAGCTCCGAGTCGGAGTCCTCTTGGCTGCAGTAGCCACTGCTTGTGGTGCTGCTCCAGGTCATCTCGAAAGAAGGCGTCTCCGCCTCGCCCATCGCCCTACCCGCCCGTCCCTCTAGTCCCGAGCGTCCGCAGCCGCCAACCACCGCCCCGGTCGCGTGCGTGCGTGCGTGTGTGTACGCGTGTCAGTGTGCGCGTGCGCCCCGGCCAGCGCAACCGTTAAGACTGAAACGTAGATCGCAGGGATCTAGCTCTTGTCTTACTGGGGGCGGAACGTCGGGGCGGGGACACGCACGCTTCGCCCCCAGGAATGACCTCATCGCTCCGGCAGCTCCACTTACAGACCCCACCTCCTACAGGAAACGGGGCAGGTGCCAGCGTTTACGCAGGCGCACCAGAGTCGCCGCTGTCCGTAGGCTATGGCCGGAAGGTGTGGGAACTGCGCGTGCGCGGAGCCTGGGCCCGCCTCGGCCGCGGTCGGCTGGCAGCCTGCGGAGTCAGTGCGGAGCCGGCAATCCAGGCACCCCTCCCAGCCCCAGCGCAGAATTAGCCTCTCTCTGCCGCTAGGAAATCGGCAATTAGAACGCTCATTGCGCGCAGCACCGGACAGCCCTCGGGAACGCCTGCGCTGTGGCCTGCCCTTCCTCGCCCTGCCCATACGCCCTCAGTCCCGCGCTCACCACGTTCGTGTCCCGCTCCACCGCGGGTTCCCAGCCCAGGTCCCGGGGCCCGCAGCAGTCCAAGCAGACGAGCGCGCGGCAACGGTAGTGGCAGGTGAACTTGCAATCTGCAGAGAGGCCTGGCCGTGAGGCGGAGCAGCCCCAGGTCGGGGAATTGTCCCGGTGATTGAAGGGAAGCCCCAGGGAGAAGGCCGCTGCCCGCGAGGCTCCAGAGGCCCGGCCTGTCTCAGTGGGTTACCTCCCACTGTTAAGCGGACTCTAATGTTGGTCACCCTGGGTGTCTGGAAACTGACCGGAAGGCCAAAGGCAGTTAGGGACCCAGGCCCTCTCAACAGTTGGATCTCATCGCCTCCCGCAGAGGTTCCCCCTTCCTTATTTGCAACTTCTATGTAAAACCTCTGCCCATTTACTTGAGGGAAAAAACAAACTTTTTTTTTTTTTTTTTTTTTTTGAGACGGAGTTTCGCTCTTGTTACCCAGGCTGGAGTGCAATGGCGCGATCTCGGCTCACTGCAACCTCCGCCTCCTGGGTTCAGGCAATTCTCCTGCCTCATCCTCCTGAGTAGCTGGGACTACAGGCACGTGCGCCACCACGCCCAGCTAATTTTTTTTTTTTTTTTTTTAGTAGAGACGGGGTTTCACCATGTTGACCAGGATGTTCTCGATCTGTTGACCTCGTGATCCACCCGTCTCGGCCTCCCAAAGTGCTGGGATTACAGGCTTGAGCCACCGCGCCCGGCCCAATTTTTTTTTTTTTAAATATATATAAATCCCAGCACTTTGGGAGGCCAAGGCGGGTGGATCACGAGGTCAAGAGATCGAGACCATCCTGGTCAACACGGTGAAACCCCGTCTCTACTAAAAATACAAAAAATCAGCTGGGCATGGTGGCGCGTGCCTGTAATCCCAGCTACTCAGGAGGCTGAGGCAGGAGAATTGCCTGAACCCAGGAGGCGGAGGTTGTGGTGAGCCGAGATCGCACCATTGACGGGGTTTCACCATGTTGGTCAGGCTGGTCTTGAACTCCCGACCTCAGGTGATCCGCCCGCCTTGGCCTCCAAAGTGCTTGGATTACAGGCGTAGGCCACTACGCCCGGCCAAAACCAAACATCTTTAACCTACGTCCTCCCTCTGGTTGTCATCTGTCTCTATTCCCCTCAGACCAAAACACTGGTCTCTATAGATTCTAATCCGCCTTCACTCTGTCCTCCACCCTCTCCAGCCAGGCTTGCCTCTCCCTCCAGGAAACTGCCCAGGACAGGGTCCTGAGCGATCTGCATACTGCCAAATGGAATCCAGTGTCCCAGTCTCCATTCTCACCCCCTCAGAATCATTTGAAGCTTGCTCCCTTTGACTCCCAGGGGACACACTCTCCCGGGTTTCCTCCTATCCCCTGCAGCTCCTGCTCAGCTCCTTTGCAGATTCTGACTCAACTTCCAGATCTCACGGTGATATTTGGGCTCAGTCCTGATAGCTGGCCTGGTCTCTCTACACTCACCTGCCCCAGATCCACAGCTGAAACACTGACCTAGATTAGATCCTCTGTGCCAGTACCTTCACTAGGATGCCTAAGGGACGTTTCAAGTGAACATGGCCAAAATTTAATTCCCCTTTCTTCCACCTCACTGCTACCCTTGCCTAGCTTCCTCACTGCAGCAAAAATGGCCACTATGCCCCCAGTTACTGGAGACAAAAACCTAAACTTATTTTTGATTCCTCCCTTGTCTCTACTTCTGATACACGCCCAAATCGTCCTGCTTTTTTATCTACGTGGCCACTTTATTTTTCTTTGAGAACGCTACAATATCCCAGCCTTGTTCTTTTTTTTTTTTGAGATGGAGTCTCTGTCGCCAGGCTGGAGTGTAGTGGCACGATCTCAGCTCACTGCAACCTCCGCCACCTGGCTTCAAACAGTTCTCCTGCCTCAGCCTCCTGAGTAGCGGGGATTACAGGCACCCACCACCACGCCCAGATAATGTTTTGTATTTTTAGTAGAGACCAGGTTTCATCATGTTGGCCAGGCTGGTCTTGAACTCCTGACCTCAGGTGATCCACCCACCTCGGCCTCCTAAAGTGCTAGGATTACAGAAGAGAGCCACCGCGGCCGTCTCCTTGTTCATTCTCTGTATTCTTTCACAACTTTGTGCTTCCCCCAGCTGAATTTGTGATATTCTCTTGTACCACATGAGAGGGTCTCCATGCACACACACACCTGGGACACCATCCATCCACAAGTTCCTAAATGTTAGAATAATTTGGGGAGTTTTAAAAATTTGCTGATGCCTAGGGTCCACTCCCAGCAGTTGATTCAACAGGTCTGAGGTGGGATCTAGGCATAGAGGGTCAGAGGGCTGTAAAAGTGCCCCTGGTGATTCCAGCTGGTGTCTAGCTATGGGAGAGCAACTTTTGCCTTGCTGGTGATTCCCAGGGGTGCAGAAGGACTGATGGGTGTGTGACTGTATTCCATATTTTAGCATCTGATTCACTGGGTCAGAAATGGGTGTTTGCTAAATAAAGACTCAACAAAACTCCTGCTTGCAGGGGCCCACCCAAGGTTCTAACTTTTTCCAGGCTCCCTCCCATATAGATGGGTAACTTCATCCCAAAAGTTCTGGAGGGGGGGTCACAGTGAGTGAATCTTTGGGAAGAGGCAAGCCTGGAAAGATGGACTCAGAGGACAGTAGGCACAAACCCTTTCTCAAGAAAGGCCAAGGCATTTTAAAGAAACTTGAAATCAGCACATTTTTACATACAAGCAGCCACCTCTGCCCATCTGTGCCCCAGATACGGGAGGAGTGCACAAAGGGATAAACCATTTTCGCACACTCTTCAGCGATGGGGCGAAAGTAACGGACCTAGTCCGCGGGAGCTGTCCCTGCCGACCCCCTCTGCCGCGTCTTGACCCGCGGCGACGGCGCTGCCCCTTGGCTGCCCCTTCCGCTCTCGTGGGCGCGCGGGGCAGCTACTCACGCGCGCACTGCAGGCCCTTGCGCACGACGCCCCAGATGAAGTCGCCGCAGAGGTCGCACCACGTGTGCGTGGCGGGCCCCGCGGGCTGGAAGCGGTGGCCACGGCCCGGGACCAGCTGCCGTAAGGGGTTGCGCGCAGTACCCCGTACGATGCGCAGAGCGTTGGCACGCTCCAGCCGGGTGCGGCCCTGCCCGCCGCGCCCGGTGGGTGCCAGCTCCCGCAGCTCAATGAGCTCAGGCTCTGCCGACATGGCCCGGTCGGGCCGGGGCTTCGCTGGCTTTGGGCGCTAGCAAGCGCGGGCCGGGCGGGGCCGCAGGGCGGGCCCGACTTCAGCGCCGCCTCCGGGATCTAGGCTGGCAGGGCGGGAAGGAGCTGAGGAGAGCCGCGCAAAGGAAACCTGGGTGGGGGGACTGTGGGGCCCGAAGGCGGGGCTGGGTGCGCTCTCGCAGATCCCGCGCCTGGCCCTTCTTTCCCTCCTTCGTCCCCTCCTCACCCCCAACCCCGGAAGGCCACAATGCAGGCGACCGCAAAACACCACGTGGACCCGTGTTTCTGGAGGCCAGCTTTACCGTGCTAGAGGAAGAGGGTCCCCACATCCGGCCCTTGCCCTCCCGGCCCGGTTTGCTGAGGCAACGCACTTGGCCTGCCCACAGGGTGGGGCAGGAAGTCTCGCGCCGTCCCTTGGGGAGGGGAGGAGGGGGATGGGTCAGCAGCTTTACCGCCTGCTTTGCTCTCCACCACGGAGACTGGGGCTTTGGCAGAGGCTGGCCCGTGATCTTGAGATTCAGGGGTGCGTTCTGGCTGGATTCCCTTGACATGGGTTGGTCGGCCCTCAGCAACGACAGCCCTCATTTGGCTCTGTCACCCTGGGCTGCCAGGACACAAGTCTTTCCATGCTTTTCCCAGTGCTTGACTTGGCACTCCCTGCAGGCAGGTGGATACTGAGGATCGCAGCACATGTGGGGGATGTAGGAGTAGGGCTTAGGGGTCCAAGGTCCTCGGATATCCTCACCTGCGGCAATACCACTCATTCTGGCATCTCGAGCAGCGCTTGGAAGCCTCTGCACTGCAGTAGGCACAGCGGGGCCGCTCTGGAGCTACTGCCTCTAGCACATCCAGCCTGTAGGTCTCAGCCCACCTTGGGGAGAGTCAGGAAGGTCTGACTGGCCCTGGAAGGGGGGGTCACCCCTGCCCACATCCATGCCTCCTGCATCCCATCCACCCCACCCTGCCAGTTCCACAGGCCTTACCTTTGCGCCTGCAGCCGCAGGTCTTGCTCTGAGGGGCTGAACACGTGCCGGAGCTGGTGCTTGGCAATTGCCTGCCACTTGCCTCTGTTCTCTCGCTCTAGCCGCTCCCAGATTTCTGGGATCTAGGTGAGACGTGGAGAGTGGCAGGAAGGAGCTGGTAAAGTAGGACAGTGGTCCTGAGCAGCTAACTTTCCAGTGCCTACCTGTTCCAACACCAGGTCCTTCTTAGGGGGCTGGGTTTCAGCCAGGGCCAGGTGGGCCAGGAAACTCTGCAGGTGGGCCAGGTTGGGCAGCTGGTCCAGTAGCGTGTCTGTGAGGAAGGCCCGAAGCTGCAAGGGTATCCAGTGAGGCCAGTGTGAGGCAGGTGCTGGCCAGGGGGCCAAGGAAAAGGAAGGGGCTGGGTTGGGCTAAGCATGCCTGTAGGGGCCCATGTCCCACTAGCTGCTGTGTCACCTGAGGCCCAAGAACTGAAAAGAATACTGGGGCTGAGGTGGGTGGGCAAAGATAAATAGCAGGGATGCAGTCGGGGTAGGATGGGGAGGGGTAGTGCTGGGGCTGTGGGGACTGGTGTGGAGGGAGTCCGACCTTGAGTAGGTGTCCCTTGGCAAAACTTGTGAGGCAGTAGCGCGCCTGGGCCTCGGGGCTTAGTAGCAGGTTGTACAGGGCGATCCACACTTGCCCATCCAACTTGCTCAGCTTTTGCTGCTCTGAGGGGGCCACAGTATACCAACGGCTGCCCTCGAACTGCTGCAGCTTGCCTGGGGAGAGGAACCAGCACACTGGGTGCAGGCGTTGCATTCTCTTCAAGTGAGCCAGCTGTGGGGCATGGGAGACTGACCATTGCCTGGGAATGGTGGGAGAACCTGGGCCACAGGACTTGGACAGGCTATAGTGCTGCTCACCCCAGAGCAGGATGAGCCTCAGTAGTGGACACATGGGCCTGGCCTGCTGCAGAGCTCAGGTCTAGGCCAAGCTTGGCTGAGGCATCCTGGTATCCTCAGTGGGCTTGGGGACAGGGTTTGTCTTCGTATAGGCAAGCTGTCCTCCTTTACCAAAAAGATATCCTGAAGCAGTAGCCTGGGGCTTAGGCTGGTGGGGGAGGACCCTACCTCCTTCCCATCGGCTCCAGGGACTATGCTCCAGCAGTTCCACCAGGAGGCAGGGCAGGTTGTGTGTGCTGAGCATGCGGCTCAAGGTGCTGAGGGAGAGGCTAGGGGCAGGAATGTTGGGAAGGAGGTGAGCAGAGGCAGGCTACAGGCCTAGTCTTCCAGCCCTCCATGGTAGGCCCAGGCCCAGTCAGGCTGCCCACCTGTCCACGCAGTCTGTGATGTAGCGCAGTACTGAGAGGGCCTTCAGAGCAATCTCAAATTCCATCAACTCTGCCTGCTTCTGCAGCGCCTGGGAGGCCACACAGTGTTTATGCTGGGCCACTCTCACTTGCGCAGGCCTTGGGGAACCTGGACCTAGGCGTTCTTAACCCTAGGGAACCTCAACCCACCTGCATGGGGTTGTTGTCCTGGGACCCCTCCTCCTCAGGGGGGCCACCACAGCCACTCCGGGCCACCAGCAGAGTCAGTTTGCGGTGGCAATAGTCTACCAAGTCCAAGACAGTGTCTTCTGCTGACTCACACACCTCCTGGGTGAAGGGGGAGGGAAGCTTTCTGTGTCTGATGCCCTCCCCACACAGATTCAACCTTCCTTCCTGCCAGGCCCTGACCTGGAACAGTGGCCCATGGGCAGAGATAGTCTCTCACCTTGTGGAAGAACACTGTCTCCAAGAGGTTGATGATGGAGGCCTCATGGTGTACCTGTTAGACAAAAAGAAAGACAGGGCCTGAGGGAGGGATAGGGGCCACCAGCTCTCCTCCCGGGTCCAGAGCCCTCTGAAGGAGTGGGAGGAGGTATGAACTAGGGGCCAGCTCACCACCATGTAGATGGGGAAGGTGTTCTGAGGCTTGAAGTCCTCCACCCTGCAGAGCACGGGGAACACCTTCTGCTTCCACATCTCCACTGCGATCAGCTCCTCCACCAGTGTTGGGATCTTTGAAGTGGGGGGAAAGGACAGGGGTGAGATGGGCCTAGCCTGGCAACCCTCCCATCCCTGGCTCAGCTCAGCCCAGATCTCCTCAAACACTGCTGGGTCCCTAGACTCTCCTAGACCCCATGAGTATCCTTCCTGACTTCTCTTTTGCAACTTGGACCTTCATTTCCAGCTGCTCCCAACACCTCTGTGGATGTCCCCCATGCTTATGTGACTGGCTCCTGCCCAGTCCCCAGACTGCCTTGCCCTGCCTGCACCTGTATCCTTATCCTCTCTCTCCCCATTCAGGCATTCAAGCCAGCCCTTCTGCTCACGCCCTCTCTCTTGTCCTTGTCCTCTGGTCCTCCAAGGCTCTTGTGTGCCTTGGCCTCACTCTTACTCAGGACCCTTCACAGTGCCCTGTCCCTAACCTATCCCCTAGTAGTGAGCTCCACCTTTCTCTTGCAAAGGACCTCTTTTTTTTTTTTTTTTTTTTTGTGAATTGATATTTCAGGTCATCTGCTGGTGATATCAGCAGGGTGATATCATCCCTGGTCCATGTTCCAGCCAGTCATCTCCCTGGTTTCTAACTCCCCTCTCTCATGTTGGAAAGGCTGCTTCCTTCCCTGCCAAAGATCCACTTCCAATTAAGTTATCTCCCCTCCCCGCCATCCTTACAGTCAATTCACAGATGCCTTTAGCATTTGGGCCTTCACCTCGAATCCTAAGCTGTTCTAGGACCCACAACTTTCTCCTTATTCAACTCATGCCCTGCACCCGGCCTGGTGTGCCAGAGTCCTGTCCATAGGGATACAAAATGAAACGTAACACATTCCTCTTTCACCTTCAGGGAGGACAAGTATACCAGGCCAGAGGGAAAAACACACAGGGCATTCCTGAGGGGTAGAGTGGGTGAGGTATGGAGGAAGGCAGGAATCCTGCCTGTGACCTCGGGGTACCTTCCCATGGGTGACCAGCAGCTCCTGAATGGGCTCGCCCTGGCTGACTGTGGCATTGAGTATGGCTTGCATGTTCAGCTTCTCCACGTTCTCATGCTGCTGGTTCCACCTGTCCCAGAGGGTAAGTGCATGTGGGCGCACGTGTGTGCATTAGGAGTGAGGATGGGGGGCTGGATCCTGTTGAAACCTAACCTGATCCTGAGGGGCCACAGGGGGCTCAGGAGCAGTAATACTCTTGTCTGGGAACTCCCAGCTTTCCCATTTGGAGGCCCCTCCACACTGGGCAGCCCCTCCGCCCATGTCAGGCCCCAGCTCCCCGACTCAAGGACAATGACCCCATGACTCCGCCCGACCCAGGTGCCTCACCCTTCGGAGCCCATCTCGCGTAGCGGGAAGCTGCGCAGACCCCGCACCAGCACGTCAGCTTCCCCGGGCAGCAGCAGCTCCAGGTCTCCCATGTCGAGGCCGGGGTCCGGCGGACCCTGGGCAGCAGTCGGGGTGGGGATGCTAACACACGGGGACGATGCCTGACGGTGCCAAAGTCTGGGACCGGACAGTTACTGAGCGGTTGGGGAGCGTGGGTTCTCGCAGCCATGGAAACGGATTCGCCGCGCCTGCGCATTGCGGCCTGGGCCCGCCCCTGGAGGTAGCTCTCGCCTAAATCCGGGCGGGTCTACAGCCCGCCTCGCCTAAGCCGCTGCCAATTGCTACAGTATCTGGATTCCCAGAGCTTTCTCAGGCTGTGACCCACGAGTCTCTCCCGATTCTTGTGGCCTGGACTCTGTCCTCGGACGCCAAGTCAGCCTGCACAGGGATGGGGGCAACCCCGACCCCACCAGCAATTCCTGCGGCTGCTCCTCCTCCTTATGGCTTCCTGGTTCCTCTATTTTTCGCGTCCCGGCTCCTCTAGTTGGCTCCCGAAATAGTTACTGCCAGGGCGCACGACTTCTCTCCATCCAGAATGTCATCACCTGTCATGGGATAACTGTGGCAGCCTTTTCTCTAGACTTATTTCCACGCTTGGTCCTCATGAACAGCCCGGAGCCTCCTTTTAAAAAGTGTATGTTGGCCGGGCGCGGTGGCTCAAGCCTGTAATCCCAGCACTTTGGGAGGCCGAGGCGGGTGGATCACGAGGTCAGGAGATCGAGACCATCCTGTTCAACATGGTGAAACCCCGTCTCTACTAAAAATACAAAAAAAACATTAGCTGGGCATGGTGGCGCGTGCCTGTAATCCCAGCTACTGAGGAGGTTGAGGCAGGAGAATTGCCTGAACCCAGGAGGCGGAGGTTGCGGTGAGCCGAGATTGCGCCATTGCACTCCAGCCTGGGTAACAAGAGTGAAACTCCGTCTCAAAAAAAAAAAAAAAAAAAGTGTATGTCAGGCCAGGCGCGGTGGCTCACGCCTGTAATCCCAGCACTTTGAGAGGCCGAGGCAGGCAGATCACTTGATGTCAGGAGTTCGAGACCAGCCTGGGCAACATGGTGAAACTGTCTCTATTAAAAATACAAAAATTTGGCCGGGCCCGGTGGCTCACGCCTGTAATCCCAGCACTTTGGGAAGCCGAGGCGGGTGGTTCACGAGGTCAAGAGATCGAGACCATCCTGGTCAACACGGTGAAACCCCGTCTCTACTAAAAATACAAAAAATCAGCTGGGCATGGTGGCGCGTGCCTGTAATCCCAGCTACTCAGGAGGCTGAGGCAGGAGAATTGCCTGAACTGAGGAGGCAGAGGTTGCGGTGAGCCGAGATCGCGCCATTGCACTCCAGCCTGGGTAACAAGAGAGAAACTCCGTCTCAAAAAAAAAAAACAAAACACCACCACCACCAACAAAAATTAGCCAGGTGTGGTGGCACACACCTGTAGCCCCAGCTACTCGGGAGGCTGAGGTAGGAGAATCTCTTGAGCCCACGAGGCAGAGGTTGCAGTGAGGCGAGATTGCACCACTGTACTTCAGCCTGGAGGACAAAACGACCCTCTGTTTCAAAAAAAAAAAAAAGAAAAAGAAAAAAAAAGTGTACAGTTACTCCCTGGCATGAGAGAGGCTCTGCAGCTACTTCTGGCCCACCAAATGCTAGGTCCATCACGGCTTACTAGCATCTCTGCAAGATCTACTTCTTGCCCTCCTTCATACCTTGGGACTTGGATTCCTGCTTCTCCCCCTTGCTCCCCTGGATCTCCCTCACACATTCCAAAGAGGTTTTTGCCTCAGGGTTTTGCACTGTGCCTGGAATACTCTTCCTTCAGGGCTCAGTTTACACCTTGGATGGCCTTTCTTGGCCATTTAATCCAGAGCAATCCCTGCTTCCAGCCCAACTCATTCTTGATCACATCTTTTTTTTTTTTCTTTTTGCGATGGCGTCTCCTCTGTCACCTAGGCTAGAGTGCAGTGGCATGATCTTGACTCACTGCAACCTCTGCCTCCTGGGTTCAAGTGATTCTTCTGCCTTAGCTTCCTGAGTAGCTGGGATTACAGGTGTGCAGTAATCTGGCTAATTTTTTGTATTTTTTTTAGTGGAGATGGGGTTTCACTATGTTGGCCAGGCTGGTCTCGAACTTCCGACCTCAGGTGATCTGCCCACCTCAGCCTCCCAAAGTGCTGGGATTATAGGCATGAGCCACTGGCCCATGCTACATCTGTTTCTTTCTAGGTTTATTTATTATTATTATTTGAGACAGGGTCTTGCTTTGTCACCCAGGCTGGGGTGCAGTGATGGGATCACAGCTAAATGTAGCCTCCAGCTCCTGGCCTCAAGCGATACCCCCACTGCAGCCTCCTGAGTAGCTGGGGCTACAGGTGAGCCACTGCACCTGGATGATTTTTTTTTGATAATTAACCAGCACTTTTACTTGTCGATTGTCAGTCCTGTCCACCAGATGGTGACCTAGCACACATGCTCGTAGCTATTTCATTCATCGCTGGGTCTCCTGTGGCGGGCTCAGAGGCAATACTCAGTAAGATAGTTTGAAATGGATGACTTTATTTACAGAACTAAGAGTCAACCTCTAGACAGTATGACAAGCCTACTGGCAGGAGGCACTACCCACAGCAATGTACGCATCCTGCCACCACCAGCCTTACTTCCAGCAGATGATGATGTTGGGGTCATTTTCGAGCCGCTCATCCAGCTCATGGTAGCTCATGCCTGGGTGGGGTGGTGGAGAAGAGGTCAGTGGCCTTGGCCTGGCCACCCTACCCTGACCCAACCCTGACTGCCCACCTGCCTCCACCTGTCTTGCAGCAGATCTCATCATAGCTGTGGCAGCCTGTATAAAGCCGGGCAGGGTGGCTCTGCTCTTCCCGAGACACCCGTACAGGATACTTCTGTAGTCGCCTGATGAGGTTCTTCATAAGTCCGAACTGGATCAGCTTCCTAGGGTGAGGATGAGAGGACAGAGGGGTGATGCCCTGGCCAGGCCTTCTCTCAGGCAGGCCAACTCTTTTCTGTAGTCTCCCTTCAATTTTGTCTGAGTAGCCCATCATCTCCAGGAAGCCTGCTTGGATTAGCAGTGCCCCATGACCCAGGGCTGTTGAGACATAAAGGGTCTAGCTTCCCTCAGGTAACTCCCAAATACCCCAGTGAATTCTCTGACCGTTCGTCAACATGCTGCAGCTGCTGGGGGTGGCGGCCAATGAGGTCTCGCACGGTAGTGCCAGGGCTTAGGCTGCAGTATAGCTGGAACACATCCCGGAGACTGGCCTTCTTGTGCCCTGTGGGTGCCAGGGGTCAGCTTACCATGTGGCCCTGCCCTCCCCAAGCTGGCTTCCCCCAGAGCCCACCAATACCTTGCTTGGTCACATAGGATAGACATGCCTCCTGCAGGGACTTGTCATCTACCAGGTCCTGGACCTTAGGCGTCGGGCAGTACACATTGGAGTACTAGAGGGCAGCAGAAGGTATAGGGGACTGAGTGAGGAGCTTGGGAAACTGACACAGCCTTGATCTGGTCCAGCCACACAGTCCACTCTCCACTTAACCAAACCCAACTCACCTACCTGGAGGATGGACACCAGTGTTACAACGCCATAGTACCTGAGAGAGACAGCTGTGCTCAGCTTCTGAGGACCATGCCTTCCCAACCCTCACACCCTAGGGTCCCTGAGCTCTTCCCTGGCTGGCGACCTTGTACTGGGTGTGACTGTAGGTACACTCACAGCAGGTTCTGAATAGCAATGCGCACCAGGTTGAGCTCCACGTCTGCCTCTGCTGAAATCTTCTGGACGTGGCGGAACCCATCAATGTAGGGCAGGATCTGAGCAGAGTAGGACAGGGTCAGAGGGAACAGGATGAGGCCAGGGCTGTGGCCAGCCCCAGATGATGATACCCAGGGAGGGATGGCATACCTGTTGTGTAGTGAGGTCCCACTGCGAGTTGAAGAATTCCTCCTTGTCTTTGGTAAAGACAGGTACATCATACTCCTGGGCCACTGGAGGGTCTGGCCGCTGCTCAATCACCTTCAAGTGGATGGTGTTGGACTCATCTACAGGGGGTCCCAACCATATCCTAAGTGCCACTTCTTCCAAGAGGCCCTCAATTACCATCCAGTACTCCCAGCATCCCTTGGGGCAGGCAGGTGCCTCTGGGTAGGGCTAGTCTTTCTCTTTTTATGGAGTAAGAAATTGAGGCCCACAAAGGGGAAGGAATTGTCCAACAGGCAGAGCTGGAGAGCTCCACTCCCCACCCCCCGACCCCCAGTCCCGGCTCCATCACGCATTGGACCCTGGACATGGGCACCTCAGCCAGTGGCTATTTCTTGGCCACCAATTTGTTCATGAGTCTTGTACCTCTCCACTACTGGCTGGACTCACTTTCCCATCTCTCCTCTACCCCTTTGCTGTCCTTGCAGAGGCTGGCCATACCAATGGGCAGAGTGCACCGGCCCGAGGCATTTAGCTCCTCCAGCAAGATGGTCATGATGGGCACCAACTTCTGCTTGCTCTCTTCCATGGACACGAAGCTGCTCTCTAGCTAGATAGAGCATGGACAGCATGGTGGGCATATCCCAGGACCCCTGGCTGGCTAGTTGTGCTGAGTCCTAAGCTGGTTGGCAGGGTCCCAGGTTTGGGGGACTTTGGAGACATAGGAACACTTTCCCCAACTCTGCCTGTCTAAACCCAAGCCCATCTCATTGCAGACCTCTAGTGTGGTCAGATAGCCAGCCAGCTTTTTAACGATGGGCTCGAGGGCACAGGTCTTGGCCTGGGCATCACACACGAAGCCCAGGTTGAAGAGGAGGGCATTGCGGCTGTACTTCTTGTGTTCGATGCACACAGGACAGCCGATCAGCTTCTTTTCCATGGCTGTGCTGGATAATTGGAACAGAGTCAGGCACCTAAGACTGTTCCTTCCTCCTCCTGGGACTTCCCCCGCCCCCCCCCCCCCACCTCCCCCGCTCATCCCAAGCTAAGGTCTCACACAGTGATAAGCTTGTTCTGCAGCTCTGGCTTGGTGATGATGTACACTTGGACTGTGTCAAACAGCTCTCGGGAGATGAAGTCTTCAGGGACCTGGGGAGGGGAGTGGTAATGGTCCCCTCAGTGGACATTTGTACTGGGTGTAGTACAAATGGTGACCTCCTCATGCCCCCCAGGCCCAAGTCCTCTTATCTAGCGTTCCCCTCTCTCCCACACACTCAGGCCTATTACTTCTTTCTGTTTCCAATCACACGCTATGATCTAATCTCCTTCCTGGCTTCTGCATATGCTGTTCCCTCTACCCAGAACACTTTCTCCTCCCTATTTAAACTTCTTATGCATCATTTACTCTTCAATCAGTTCAGGATACTCATGGGTCATCCACCTCACCTTCCGTGGGATCTGGAACCCCTCAACCGGTTCCCTACGGCCCCGATATCTTACAAACACTGCCAATGTGACATATGTTTTCCCTGCCACATTGGGAGCCAGAGGCCTGGGTCTGACTATCCTCTAGCCTCACAGTTGTCCGCGAATGAAGTAGCGTGCCTGCGTGCAGCACGGGATCTACCACCTCCAGGCAGCTGGCTGAGCTCTCAAGAACGTCCCTTTCCCCGCCCAGTCCTGCGAGCCCGGGTGGCACCTGATAGGTGATCTTGGGTCCCAACGTGGGGTGGAACTCGCTGAAGAATATGCATTCG